TTTACTAATTTCAAAGAATCTACTCAAAGAAGAAATGAGGAAATTTCTCCATCCATCCTTCACTCGAACCAACTAAAACTGAAAAACTTCCTAAGCCCCGGATGGGTTGAACCAGTTCAAAACAAGTATTTAAAATAACCAATTACATTCTTGATAACTATCACTGTAAAATACTTAAGCACTAACCACTCATGATCCGTGACTAAAATTACAATAATTTGTAGGGCTGAATCTATTCATAGTTTCAGCCACAGAAGAAAAAATTAACTTAGCAAACAGTTGCTTTTCCTTGATTCTAACCTCGCAACAAACCCAGTATTTACTAGGAAATATAAGATTAAGATTAGGATTGGTATTAGAATAAGAAGTTGCACGAATCTATCCGACCGAAAATAAAATAGTGTGATGAATAGACTGTGAACCTTATCCATAATTACTCTATGAGAAAGCTACCCCGGACTTAAACTCAATAAACAGAGCTTGTTTGGAATATACTTGGTTTTTCACGAGGTGACAAATGTCCGAGTGTTTTTAAGGTTGATAAGTTAAAATTCCATGAAAGCACAAAGATGATTTTTTTTGACCTTTTAAGCTTTAACCTTCTAATTAGATAATTTTCAGAAATTTCTTGTTATATACTTTCATGCATATATAATTTTTGTGAATTATCTATGATAAACACGTTGCCCTATTTGACTAGCTTTTTTTTAAATCAAAATTCATTAATCCGTTAATTTCAGTTTCGCTTCATAAATTTATTAAAAAACAGAATAATCAAGGGTTTTGTCATTAGTCAACTGGTTAAGTTGCAGTAATTTCACAGTTAAACGGCATCTGGAGGTTTGCTTACTATAAGATAATATTTTCAATTTTACTCAACGCAATTTCAAAAAAATTAAGTTTTGTATATGGCGCGTAAGATTATTGTCTTTCTTTTCTTGGCGGAAAAAGTTTATCTAATCATCTAAAACCAGAACCCGAGTCGAGATTTTTCACCTAATTTGAAGCAAGATTTGAGCGGTTTGAGTAGTTTTTTTAGACGATTGCGCTCAAAATCTTGCTTCATTATGAGCGGTTTTTGAGCGTTTTTGAGTCTAGTCCTGTTAATAACGGGACTAGATTATAAAATGTAATAACCTAATCCTGTTTTATTTTTGTCTCATGACATTGTCTGACAACTGCGTGAAATCAGCTTCTCTTAAAAGCGAAGCTGGTTTCACGCAGTTATCAGACAAAGTTATCAGACAAAATTGAAACAGGACTAGGTTATTACAATTTATAATCTAGTCCCGTTATGAACAGGACTAGACTATTTTTCACTTAAGAAGATTTTTGTAGCCGTGTAAGAAAACGGTTATCATGCAGTTTTCATGTATTGAAAAAGTATAAAAGATACATTTTGTTTTTCCATAGAAAAAATGTATGAAATTGTATACAATTTCATTCACTTTTTCTATGGAAAAACAAGGTGTATCCTTTGATACATTTTCAATATATGAAAACTGCATGATAACCATTTTCTTACCCGGCTACAAAAATCTTTTCAAGTGAAAAAAAGTCTCGTCCTGTTAATAACGGGACTAGATTATAAATTGTAATAACCTAGTCCTGTTTCAGTTTTGTCTGATAACTTTGTCTGATAACTGCTTGAAACCAGCTTTTCTTTAAAGAGAAAACGATTTCACGCAGTTATCAGACAATGAAGACTCTGATATCTTAAGTCTCTTATAAAGGTCGCGATTCGAGAAAAGACGTATAATGCGTTCACGCTCAAATTTGATTTTTGCTATACTGATTTTCGATACTTTATAAGTTTAGTACAATTTCTATTGTTAAAAAAGGAGGAAAACTCCACTGTCGAACAGCAAAAAGCAAAGGTCACGAAAAAAAAATTGACTTTTAGTTACGAAAGTTGAATTTAATTTCCAGCGAAAACACTTTCCCAGCGAAATAAAAAACTAGCTATTGATCTAGTTTTTCTCAAATTGGGTTTTTTAATCAAAAAGTGAAAATCATTAAGTTTTCTTGAAGTTCAAAAAGATTTTAGGCAATATATTTTTTCCTTCGAATTTCAAAAATTGAAGTTTCCTCAGATTATTTCTGTGTTGACTTGCGTTCAATGATTCTGTTTCCAAATGCATGGGGGCTATGTTTGTAAAATTGATTTTGAATCAAATGCCTATCTAACACAAAATAAAGGAAACAGCAAATTAGTTTCATCATGTATTGTCATGTCTGATTACCCTAGAGATCAGTTAAGATAACGCAATTGGATACTAGGATTTTTCCCGTTAAAAACTTTGTTCACCAGATATGTCGAAATTAGAATCGGTATATTTCGATTCAGTTCAAAATGAACTCATTTTTTTGCGTCCCTGGCTTAAATATTTGGTCTCAATTTTTGTGCATGGAAAACGCATGGAATTACACTTAGTTTTAATTTTTTCTTTTGTTTAAGGATCAAGCAATTTAACTGAAACCGATTGAAGCAAGAGAATTCGAAATGTTTCGAAATCATTTATTTTTTTTATAAGAATAAGTTATTTTCTTAGAAATAAGTAATTTTCATAGCTTGGATTTTTTGGCAAAAACTATTGGAGCAATGAGATTTTGAAATCATAGCCAACTGACAGTTGGAAAAAAGTAACAAACGCAAGGAAACAGAAAAAAAAACTGACTTGTTTTTGAGAAAAACTTTAACTTACGAAGTTTTAAGGAAAAATGTAAGACCTCAATGCTCTTCAATTTTCAAGAACAATGTATATCTGAAATTTTGATAAAAACTAGATAGCTTGGATTGTTTCGCAAAAAATCAAGTTATTGAAGCAAGGTATTAAAGAGAAGACATTTCAAAAAAATTAGCCAAATATTAGTTCGAAAAAACGAATGAACGCAAGGAAACAAAAAAATTGCCTTGTTTCTGAAAAATTTCAATTTGCGAAATTTAAAAGATAAATGTGTGCCCTCAAACCTTCCAATTTCACAAACAATTTCTGCTTGATCACTTTTTGGGTAAAATTCACCAAGCTTGAAAAAACTGGATCGATAGGTAAAATTTATTTTTCGCTGGGCAATCTGATAATCAAATTCTATTTTCAAAATTAGAATCCAATCACGTTTTTCAACCACCTTTACAATTTCGCTGTTCAATAGTGCAGTTTGCCTTCCTGTTATCAAAGCAAATGAAGTGACCTTGAAAAAAATCAAAAGTCAAACAGCGAAAAATCAAATTGCGCGTGAACAAAATTTTAGACTTTTTCGTGAAAAAAATCACATAGACCTCTTTAAGAGTACTCACTACGTTCGTTTAATTATAAGAGTACTCAATAAGTCCAGAAGTTGAATCCTATGCAAAAAAAAATTTTTGCGGGGAAATTGTATAGTACCCAGTCTCAACACACTTAATATCACAAGTGAAAATACCATGATTTTAGGAAAACAATGTCAGATATCATTTTAATTTTGGAAAGTTTCATATGATTAGCAAAAAATTCGTAATTAAGGTCATTTAAAACAGCCAACAGATAGTTGGAAAAAAAGTCGTGATTGCAAGTTAAAGGAAAAAAAACACTGACATAATTTCTAGAAAAAAACAGCTTTCGAAATTAAGAGAGAAAAATGTAAGGCCTTGAAGCTTTTTGAATTTCAAAAATATTTATGATTGACACTTTTTGATAAATTCAACCCAACTTGAAAAAATTAGACCAGAAAGTAATTGTTTTATTGCGCTGGCAAATTTGAAAATTGAAATCCACTTTCGAAAATATGATTCGATGACATTTTTCATGACCTTCATCTTTTTGTCGTTTGATAGTAGAGTTTGCTTTCTTTTTTATCAAAGCAAATGCCGTGAACTTAGACGAAATCACAAGTCAATTGCGAAAAATAAAATTTTAGCTGAAACAATTTTAAAGAATTTTCCTAAAAAATAACAATCACCAGAAATCACAAGTCAACAACGAAAATTTTTTTTTAGCTGAAACAATTTTAAAGAATTTTCCTTAAAAAATGAAAATCACCATGAGCTATTTAAGAGTATTCAGTACGTTCATGACTCGTAACATTCGATAATTATCTGGAGTAATAACCGAGCACAAAATTGCATCATTTTTGGTGAGAGTGGGGAAATGACAATACAGCAACAAACGCATTTTAACAAGCGAATATACAATTTAAATTATCCGGACAAAACTTGAATTTTCAAACGCGTTTTTCTCAAATTGGAGTAAGATTACATAAAAAGTGAACGGAACAACAGTTGCTCAAAATTTCACCAGAATTAATATGGGGCCATTTTTTCTCAACAAAAATTTTACCCCAAAAATGGGTCATTTTGGCTTTTTTCAATTAATCAAGATTTACGCTGAAACTACTTTGTTAATTGATAAGAAAATTATATCACAGGAAGCCGCTCAACAAAGTTTAAGAAGGATTAAATCTCCAACAATTTGCGCAAATTGTTTAAAATTTATATTTAAGCAGAGATTCTGGGTTTTATGTAGTAAAAATCACATTTATTTACTATCAAGTGAAATTTTTTTCTCTTATACTGGTTTTCGGAGATTTAACCCTTCTTACACTTTGTTGAGATGCGTAAGAGGCTTCCGGTGATATAATTTTCTGATCAATTAACAAAGTAGTTTCAGCGTAATTCTTGATTAATTGAAAAAAGCCAAAATGACCCATTTTTGGGATAAAATTTTTGTTGAGAATTTCGGAGAAAAATGGCACCATATTACTTCTGGTGAAATTTTAAGCTACTTTTGTTCCGTTCACTTTTTGTGTAATCTTAACCCAATTTGAGAAAAACGCGTTTGAAAATTCAAGTTTTGTTCGTTTTGTCCGGATAATTTAAATCAGCACTGTAGCTAGTGCCAATTGAAAGAGCTCTTCTGATAAATGAACTAAGCCAAATTGAAAAAACATAAACTAGCTAGCTCACTGCTTGAATTTGAATTAAATCTCAAGAAAATAATTAATTGATTGCTTTTTCGTACAATTCATTTTAATGAAAATTAAATATTTACAACTATTTATCATAGAAAGGCATTTATTTGGCTTAAAATAGACTTATTTAACTGTTTTGATTGTTATCAACGCATTGAAAATTGTGCATATGTCAGCACAATAAATTCATTTCACTAGGCATATAATGATAGAGCATTCAAAAAACGAAACTATTTTAAACTTCAAAAAAAAATTGAAATATGAAGTACATTTTTCAGCTCTAAAAACTTTAAGATGACATGAAGTTTGTTGGTAGATATCCAGTTTTTGTTCCTAGTTGACAGAACAGCCAGTCTTCTGAGCCTGGCATCTTGGAGACAACAACAACCTCGTCGCCCGTCTAAAAACAAGCCAAACCTTGCTTTACAAAAATTAACAACTGCCGCAGCAATTAGTGCAAAACAACTCAAAAATCAAAACATAGCCGAGAGACAGTTAGCAAAGAGTCAATGAACGCAAAGGAAAAAATTGACTTAATTTCTGAAAAAACTTCAATTTTCGACATTCAAACAAAAATATATGGCCTTAATGCTCAAGAGCAAATTATTATTGGCACTTTTTTGATTGAAAAAACCCAAATTGATTTGCATTATATTTGGAAAAAATTTTATCCCGCTGGAAAATCTAAAATTTAAATTCCGCTTTTGAAATTAGAAAGCAATCACATTTTTGCGCCATTTCAGCTTTCATAATTGAGGAGTGCATTTGAAAACCTTCTAGTAAATCAACTTGAACTGAAATCAAAAAGTGCATATATATATCTAAAGCCACTCATATGAGCATTTATAAGTAAAAAAACAAAAGTAATGCATTCACAGCATTTTAAAACTTTTCCTGAAAAAAGTCATCACGACCTATATAAGCGTCCGAACTACGTAAACCGACTTAAAAATAGAAAAAAAGTATTTAATCACAGAGGCGAAGCGATACTTAATATTCCATAGCAAACATCTCTTGCGATAGCAACCGTTCATATAACATAGCCAACAGAGTCGGAAAACGCAACAAAACGCTGTTTGGAAAGTCAATGAACTCAAGAAAACAAAAAAAAATACCGTGTTTTTTTGAAAAAAAAAAACACAAATTCCAAACTTTAAAGAAACAAATATATTGTCTTAAGGCTCTTTGTATTTCTAGAACGATTTATGATAGGCACTTCTTTCATAAATTTTACCTTATTTGAAACCAATGAATCAATTGGTATTTTTCTTGAGCTGGGAAATCTGAAAAGTTAAATCTGCTTTCGAAACTAGAAGTCGATCACGTTTTTTCTGACCTTCACACTTTTTCTGTTCGATAATGAAGTTTTCTTTCCTTTCAAAAAAAGAAATTACTTAATTTAAAAAAAAAAGTAGAACAGCGAAAGATGTTTTTTCCTCAACGAAAAACTTTTTTTATTCTTATATTTTGTAATGAAAACAGCACAGCAACCGGCTAGCCCTTCTTTATTTTCTGCACCTAAGACAATTATGTACTGAGAAAAAATTAAAACGTACAAAAAAACGTACCATTGTGAAAATACTATTGCGAAGATTTCTCATGAGTGTTAATTTTAAAAAAAATTCAGGCCAATGTCTCCAGAAAAACTCTGAACTGAAGATTTTCTTTTTCATTTAGAAGAAGCTCAACAATTTGATGAACAGCCAAATTGAACATTATTTACAGGAACTAAGCCGACACCTAATCAGTTGAAAATTTCATTTTAAAATTCAATGGAATCAAATTGGAAAACTAATCGTAAAAAATAATTCAACACAGATGAGAAGCTGAGTTTCGCGCCACTTGCGATACAACACAAACATAAGAAAACTAAGTGAACCAAAATTCCAATATTAAAAACCAAGTGAACCAAAATTTTTTGTATGTCTAGATAAAAAGCAACTAGGGGCCCAGCAAAAAATAACCTGTTGTTTCGATTAAACCTATGATCTCAGATTTGGCAGGATAGTTAGCGATAAAAGTCTAAAAAACGGTCAACTAATCAAAACTTTGACATTTCGGAGAATCATAGCTTTTTGTGTGAGAAATAGGGCGTAGCCGCTTCTTCAGAAAGGATTCATTCAACCTGTAATTTCGATTGAACCCAAAGTCTCAGCATTGGAAGGTAATTCTCGAGAAATTTCGAAAACTTTCAAGAAAAAGGGTAAAACAAAACTTTTCCGAGGGCCATAAGTTTTGGTTTAGGAAAAAATTGACAGTAGTCGCTTAAAAAAAATGAGTTTCGCATAACCCGTTGTTTGAATTGAACCCATAATATCAAATATGGCAAGGTACTTTTCGAAAATATTATTCAAAAATTTTAAAAAACGGTCAAAAATTTGACTTTTTCGACGGCCATAACTTTATGTTTGAAAATGTTTGCACAGCCGCTGATACAGGAAGCTCGAAACCCATTCTATTCATTGAAACCCAAAAACTCAAATTTGAGCAGGTTTTTTTTTCGAGAAAACGAAAAGAAAAATCAAAAATATGGGTCAAATAATCTCCAACAGACTTTTTCAGGTACACAGTATACAGGCACACAATGGAGTAGGCCGTCTTTCAATTGATACACCTTTTTGAAAACCAGTAAAAGTTTCAGAAAAACTATCATTTTATTAAGCGAAACAAAAAAACAAAGAAGGAAATACGAAGTCAAGGTAAGGAAAGTTACAAATTTTATAGGATTAAATAAAACACTACAAGCTAATTAAAAAAAAAAGCGCGCAGCAAAAAGAAGGATTTCAAGATGTGACAACAGTACAAAACTGATCCTGGTTAGATTCGAATCCCGCACCTTTGCCGCAATATTCATTAACTCCAGGCTGAGTTGGTCGTGAACGCATGGAAGTTTAACTTCATTATGAACCAAGATACAAGTGATTCTGTTAAACAAGTTGTAAACCCGAAAACAAGTCTATATTCCAGTTGGATAACGCTTGCTAATCGCAAGCGCAGGAAAAAACCGTACAATGCTCTTTTAGAGGTCACTACATATGTACACACACTTTTACAGACGAAATTCGCTATTAATCTAATTTAATTCAAAGCTCTTTCAAACTCAATACATAGCCTAGGGTCAGCTGAAAACGCGTTAATTAACTCAAAACCTTCTGAAAAATGAAATTTTGTTCAAAACAAATGCATCACCGCCAAGTCCTTTTAATTTTTAGCAGCTTAGACGATTAACACAGAGGCGAAGCTGAGTTTCGCTCTACGATACAAAAGAAAATTAAAAAAAAAAAGATAAAAAAACTAGACCTAATGAATTAATAAAGCTAGTTTGAGACAAAAAACATGCCAAGACAAAATAATGTGTAATAAGCACCGAAAAATAAGGTACCAACGCCGAAAATACCTCTTCAGAAACCTTGTCAAAAGTAAAAAAAAAACATCAAAACTTCAAACTTCTGAAAAGTTATTAAGTCCACCTCACCCTTAAAACACTTTATTTGCTCATCAAATGAAACTGTATGAGCGCACTAAGCCAATATAAAATATGCCGAAACCTATTAAGCCACAAAAAAAGAAAATATAAACAGCCGAAATTTTTTAAATAAAAACTAAAGACTATTCAAAAGTTATAAAGTCCCTCTCAACCTCAAAACACAGACACGCACATACAAAACTTTTTTTGGCTCGTCGAAAGATGCAATATGAGGCCAATAAGCCGATATAATATAGGTCGAAACCTATCAAGCCAAAAACAAAAAAAATCGGAAAAAAATTGTTAGCATGAAAAACTTGAACTATAATTCTATAGGAATTTTTGCATTTTGTGCAATCCAGAGATGAGCATTAAAAAAGTGTTTCCGCTGAAACGAATCAAAACTAGGTCACTAAGCCGATAAAAAAAATATGCCTAAATCATACCAGCAGCAGAAAATTTTCTTCTGCCGGTATGATTTAGGCCTACTTTTTATCGGCTTAGTGACCTAGTTTTGATTCGTTTCAACGGAAACACTTTGATATACATATATATACGAGGTAAAGTTTAGTAAAAAACAAACAGCAAACAGAGTGAAATCAGAACACTAAAAGAAACTATAATGTGAAAAATTATATGCGTGGGATCGGTTTTTTTGGAGACGCTATGAAAAAATTTATCAATTTTTTTCAAAAAAATTTAGTTTTTCTGATGGGAAGTCCGCCCACTTCCCTGTGTGCCTGCATAATTCCCTAGTCTCTTTTTACCTTACCTCACTTTCTACTGCTTTCGAAGTGTGTGGGGAGATTTTGACCCATTTTTGGATTTTTTAAAAACATTTTCTCGAAACTACCCTCCCAGTTTTCTCGAGATTTTGTGTTCAATGGATAAAACAGGTCCTGGGGAAGCTCCTCCTCTGAATAAGCGTTTACGCCCAAATTGTTTGAAACTTTTTGACTCAAAAACTACCATCCCAAAATTTTAATTTTTCTCTAAAACTACCCTCCCAAGTCTGAAGTTTTCATTTCAATCCCTAAAACGCTCTATGGGAAGCTCCCTTGGTTTAGCGGCGAAGCTCAAACTTCATAACGAGAAAAGTTATGACCCTTGGAAAAGTCGTATTTGTAACTTTTTTGACCGTTTTGTCAAAAATTTTGACTTTTCTCGAAAACTAACCTCCCAAATTTGAGATTTCGATTTCAACGAGTAAAAAGGGTCGCGGTAAGCTCCACTGCATAAACAGATACGGCCAAATCTTTATTACAGGCAAATTTATGGCCCTCAAAAAAGTCCAATTTTTGGTTTTTTTGACCGTGGGAACAGGTTGTGGAAAGCCTCCGTGCATAAATTGCAACGCCTAAAAAACTGTACAATGTGTCTGGAAAAATTCCAAAATCACAAGAATTTTCACGCATACTTTAATAGAGCAACAACTAAGGTGTGAACCCAATTTTGAAATTACATTTTTCATCCTACATCAGTACAACAAAAAAATTATCAAATAGGTACCTCCAGCTTTAGCTGAGCTTCTAGTTCCATAAATCAATTCAGTTTGAAACAAAAGGTGAAGAACTAATTTTGCGTCATTTCCAGTTTCACTTATCAAACGCGTAACTTAAACTCTATTTAGATCATGTAAGCAAGCTTCAGAAAAAATTGAAGGTAGGCCAAAAAAACTACCTTGATCAAATTTGCATGCTACCAACCGACCTAAATTGACACAAAATTAGCAGCCAATCGGACTGAAACAAGCCAAAAAATTGTTGCGGTACGTGGAATATTACTTTGAACCCAAAAGTACGATTGTGTTGAATTAAACTGACCTTTACCGACAACTCGTCGTGTTTAGTCGCCTGATAGTCATACAGCACCCAGCGTTTGTCAATTCCGATTCCATTGTTTGATGTAAGACTGCCTATAGTCTTTCCAGGTGCAACTGCTTCGAATTGCCGAGAAGATGAAGCGCTAGAGGGCGACAAAGAAATATCCCGTTTGACTTGGACGAAGTTTGACGGAAATATTCCTTTACTTCCAAACAGTTCCCCTTCTTTCCAGTTGGCGTCTATCGTTTTCAGTAGCTTTATCTCGTCTCCTGCTCGAAAAGAGAGATCTCCTGGACACTGGCCGTTGTAGTCGTACAGTGCGACACAATAAGGTTCACTGAAATAGGACTAAGTTTCAAATGTCGACAGTCGCTATTGAAAACGTGAGAATCTTACTTTCCAAATCGATGAAAGGCAGAAGGAATATTACAGAAAAAAGCTTTTATTTATGGTTTTCATTTTTTAAACAGAGGCAAAGCTGAGCTTCGCACCACTTGCGATACAACTAGAACTATCAAAATGAATGAAGATAGTTGTGAAAAAAAAAAACATGCCAAAACAATAGAATGCAAAATCAGCATCGGAAAAAAATTAACCAAGCGCTGCCACAGCCGAAAAGATATGAGCACAAACCCTTCCAGCCGAATTTCTAATTACTAATTCCAGCCGATTTTCAAACTAACTCAAAATTCTTACGTCGCCCTTTCCCTTATAACACACAAGCAAATAAAAAAAATTTCGCGCACCAAACGACGCAAAAAGAGGCTACAACGAACCGAGAGGTGAAAATGCAACCAACTTGAAAAGTGCAATGGGGTGCGTAAAAAATGTGTTTCAATGAAACGACCAACAATTAGGTCACTGATCGATAAAAAAAAAGCCAGAATAAATTGGGCCGAACACAGATATTAAACGAAAAAAAAAAACCAAAAAGGACACAAAGTCAAAGTAAGTGAAATTACAAGTAAATCAAAAACTAAAAGCACCATTCAAAACATGCGCGCAGCAAAAAAACGATTCCAAGATGTGGCAGCTAAGCAGACAAAAGATCAGCAGACAAATAATTGGCCGACAATTTTATTTGAAACAGGATAATTCCCGTTTTTAATAAACATGTCCTGGCCAGATTCAAACCAAGGACCTTTGCGTCCCAGGCGTATTCGTTATGTCCAGGCTAAAAAGCCAGGAACGCTAAAAAATTTGATTTAATTATGGAACAAGGCACCACATTTCAACTAATTATGGAACAAGGCACCACTAGAGATGAGTCCAGATGAGATGAGTCCTGTGAACAAAGTTATTTACGGGAAAAAAGACCAACTTTTTGCTTCCTTGAAGCAGAAACACGAAGGCGAAGATGAGCTTCGCACCACTTGCGATTCGAAAATGAATGACTATGATTTAAATCAAATGAAAAGAAAACTTCAACAACTTTTTGACACAAAAAAATGCAAACAAAGCCCGAAATACCCGGAACAAAATTAACTGCACCATTAAAAACTTTCGAAAGAGCTTTCCGAATGCTAGAAAAGAAGTCGAACTTTCAAAAACCTCCTTTCTGCGGGAACTAAGTCAGCAAAATAGGCAAACAGGAAAATCTACAGAGGCGAAGCAAACACAAGCAAGGAAAATGCAACAAAGAGCTCTAAACACTAGCCACCAAAAATACATCAAAAATTATTTCAATGGTCCGGATTTGAAACTCCGTCCTGATAATTACATCCTTACATCTGCACCAGGGTCACTTGGAAAAAACTAGTGGCCCAGCTAAGGCTGGATGTACCTAATTTAATATATATACTTTTTCATATTTTGTATTGATACAGAATTGCGAAATTTTCAAATTTTCTTAAACTGGACTTTACGCAAAACCCTAGTAAATTCTCAGCTTAACTAGAGTTTAGCTGCTTATTTAAAGGAGAAAACTACAACAAGCTCTTTCATTTGATATCTTTAGCGTAAATTTGGCTGGGTAGTTTTCGAAAAAATTGAATAAATTCCAAAAAACGATCAAAAAATCATAACCTTGATTTATCTTAAGCCCAAACTTTTCTCTACTTGAGCATGAGAATAACCTCTTATGCAGGGAAGATTTTTAGATTGGGCCCTTAATATGAAATTTAAGTAGTTTTCGAGATAGTGATCAAATTTCGTTAATAAAAAAAACGGAAAAAATTTCAAAAAACGGATTTTCCCGAAGTTCAAATCGACTTTTCTTCAAAAAAAATAGGGTGAAACAGATTACGCAGGCAAAATCAAAGAACTATGTTAGTTATAACTATCAACTACAAAATCAGCAGGATAGTTTTTGGAAAAAAATTTTTCAAAGAACGGGCGAAATTTCAAAAATTGAACATTTTCAAAGGCGATATACTTTTTCAAAATGCAGGGCATGGCAACTTGTGCAGAAAAGATTCATATAATTGGTTTTTTCTTTCGATTAAACCCTTTATCTCCGATTTGGCAGGATAGTTATGGATAAATTTTAAAATTAACCAAAATGTCAGATCCCTATGTTTTTTTCTTTTGATTGGAACCTTTCTCTCACGTTTGTCCATTTAATACATTTAATATTTGAGAAAATCAAAAAATTCAAAATAAATGGTCAAAAATCCCTCTACTGAAACTTTCGAAGACCGTAGAACGTGGGCTAAAACGAAAAATTAACCATGCAGGCACATAGAAGAGCAGCCAGTTTGTCCATTGGCAGCAAGTTTTGAAAAAAGAGTACAGTAGTTTTCGAGAAAAATTGAAATTTCTGCGAAAAGTGCAAAAAAAATTCGAAAGCGTCGCAAAAAAAAACAAATCCCATGCATTTTTTAATACCTGTTTATTCAAACAGGACCTAACACTAGCCAAAACTAAAGCAACATTGCTTCTGATTAAATAGGCTTAAATATGATTTAAATGAAATATACCAAAGTGCCACCAAAGCGCACTTTTATTTGCGACTTAGGTTAGAAAAAGAATTCTTCGTAATAATACACTACGCATGGATTGTGTAAAAATAGCGGAAAGTTTTCAATTTGTAAAGAAACAGGTCCCGACTGGAAACTAACTCCCTGGCTCTGGTGTCTCAACATGGGTGTTACAGCAACATCGAAGAAAGCTGACACTTCAAAAAAAATCGGGTTACGAGAATGAAGCCGACAAAATAGGCAGACGGGCGATAGCCTGAAAAAGCACAATAAATCAAGTTTTTTTTAAAAAAAAAACAGTTCCCACTCGGACTCGATTCACAAGCCTTTGCCGTCTCAAGCAAGAGCGTAAGCTCTACGACACATGTGCCGGATGGTTGGCTGAATTTGAAGTTATAGTCAGAAACTATGCATTCGAAAGTAAACAGAAAATAAATTTTTAAAAATCAAACAAAAATTCGCTTGAAAAGTTTTTTCATTTCCAAACTGAGATTTTTAGCGTGTATAGAAAAAACCTGTTAAAAAGTTGTATGAAAATTCCTTTCATTGTGCTACTTTCTTCGAATTGAATTTTAAAATCAATTGAATAGAATTTTCAAAAAAAACGGTAAATAAGCCGACTGAAATTGGGCCGAAATCAAATAAGTCTACTAAAAACAATTTTACATATGACATTTTTTTACCAGTATATTCAGTAACGCATTAAATATAGGCACAATAACTCGAGGTATTAACCGTGCAACGTGCTGAAAAAGGAGATGTTGAAACTGGAGATCATCCTGTTAACAAAGTTGTTTACGAGAAAAAAAGTACCCGATTGCAATACCCTTGCTTATCGCAAGGTAATTCAAATAAGAAAATGATTTTTCAGTGATTCCCTGAAGAACATTCGCTAAAAGTCTTCGGCATGAAAAGAAAAGACTGATTTTGATTTCAGTCAGCCTATGAAAGAGCTCCAAATGTTTTGGTTCCAACACAAACTTGATTTGAAATGGAGCTAAACTAAGGTTGCCAATTCTACTTGCATTCATGCAAATACTACGTATATAACTAAAACAATTAGTCACCTTTCTCTGCTTTTCCTGCAAAAATTACCTAATTACTATCAACCATTCTAATTGAAGAGATTATATAAACTCTACAGGTCTTTGGCCAAAAACTTACCCAGAATCTTTGAGAGAACTGGCATTGAGATATTTCTGCTGGGTATTGCTGAATGGTTTCTTTGGAATAGGTGGAGGCGGCTTGGCTCCCGCCGGCTGAAAAATCTTTTCTTTTTGAAAATTGTTAAAACGACAACGGTTCAGTTTTAGCTTACTGAGCATTAATCTTAAGCTGTTCATTTTATTGTTGCTTTAATTTCGCAGACCCGGCAAAGAGTTTCTTTACCTCTCGAACAAGAATATACAACTCATACATATCGTGGCTGAAGTAAAACTATAAATTGTAGATTTGATTTAACCTTCAGTTTGACGAAGTTGGCGGGGAACATACGAGGCGGCGACTGTGTAGGAGGCTCATGCTTAAGTCTTCCCAGCCACCACTCTTCAGTCACTGTGCCACTTAGCACGATAAGGTCACCTTTCTGAGCAGAAGAATCAATAATGCACTCACAAACAGGCTAACATAACCACTTAGGAAGAAAATTGTCCTTAAAAATATTCTACTCATATGGAAACACCGCGTGCCGCATGCAATGTGGCCCAAACAAGCGGACAGCAAATGAGACGGAAAAAAACTATTTGAAAAAAATTATCGCAACCTATATAAGAATCTGAGCTCGACTTAAACATACCAAGTCAGAGTTATTTAAAGTTAAGATAACATGAAAAAAACAAGAACACTTTTAAACAGCCATTAGACAAATGAAAAAAGTCAGAGAACGCAAGCTAAGAGAAAAAAAATCATTTCGTTTTTTCTCGAAAAAGATTTTTTTTGGAGAAAACTGGATCTATAGTTAATTTTTTTTATTTCGCTGGGATATCTGATAAATAAATTCCATTTTCGAAATCAGAAGTCGGTCGAATTTTTTGTGAATTATACACTTTGGCTGTTCTATAGTGGAATGTGCCTTCCTTTCAACAAAGGAAATGAACTGAAATTAAAAGAAATCAAAATTCAAACAGTAAAAAACATAAATTTGAGCCTGCACAAATTTTGAGACTTTTCCTTTAAAAAATCATCAGAAGCTCTATAAGAGTCTGAGTAATGTTCATCGTCCCTAAATTGCAATACAAATACCTTAGAGTACAAGAAAAGCAGGAACTGGTACAAATAAAACGAAAAACATAAGCAGACAATAATGAGCCGATAACTTTTTCATACTGAAGTGAATATTTTCCATTTAAAAAGCAAGTCCGAGCCGTCTACTAGTTTTGGTAACCAGTAGTTAAATTGGAATTTCCAGCTGCAGAACTGAATGCCGCACAAATTTCAGCTGCACAAATGAATCGCTAATTTTATAAAAAAAACTAGTTAACTCAAAAAAGTCTTATTTGATAACGGTTGGTTGTCGCGAGCGCAATAAACTGCAGCAACAAATCAAAACTACTTTCAGTTATCGTCGCGACCTACATAAGAGACTGCACTCTTAACATTTTGCGCATCAGAAGAAAAACCCATGCTTTGGAAAGTAATTTGAAAAAGCAGACAAACGATAAAAGGGCAAAAAGAGTAACTTGAACTTGATATAGCAATGAAGTAAGCTGAGGAGTCTAGCAGAAAAATCATGCGAACAAAGTTTTGACGATGGAAAAAAACTAGTAGCCGGTTGCAACAACCTTGCTAACAGCAATTGCAAAAACTCCAAAACTAAACGCCAAAACTTTCAATTAGCAGTCAAGATTCTCACTCTCCGGAATGGTGGCTCAAAAAATCTAGATTTTAAGAGCATGACTTTAACATGTGAAGTAAATTTGACACAGAGGCAAAGCTGCACTACACTAACAAGAAAAAAGCGAGAAAACGACAAAAAGCAGCTCTAAAAAGTGAAATAAGAAAAAGTATAAATACGCCTCGAATAGGTTGAAGTTTTGCAATGTGTCAGATTCGATCCTGTGACCTCGATATTTCGAGTTTCATGTCCTCGCAGCTGCGCAGTTGCTTGACGAATGCCAAACACTAACCACCAACAACGCAGAGACCAGATGATGAAAATTCCAATACTACAGATAGTGATTATAGCAAAAGTGGCGCCAATTGAACACCTTTATTTGCGAGCTAGTTTGGAAAAAGGAAGAGCCATACTATTACGCAACGCTTCCTAGCTCGCATTTTAAAAAAACGTTCACCAATTTCTTAGGATGAGAACAACGAAAAAACCCAAACCGCAGTTCGTGAATAAAAAGTCAAAAACATTTGGAATGAAAAAGCCTGGAAATTCAAGTTGCGTAGAGTTCAGTTCATACTTTGAAATTCAACTCTTCAGATGCGCCTGATTCGAAGTCGTGAATAGCCTCGTACAAAGTTCCTGTTGCTCCCACGTCAGTAGACCCAGATGTTGAGATGGAGCTAAAATTTAACCAAAACAACCCTTGCAGACAAAAATAATAAGATGTGAAGAAACATATACTTCAAATAATTTCCGACGGGCAACCGTTTTGAGTGAAATTTTCATTGAACTCTATTATGACGCGAAACAGACTTGAAAATGTAAATGCAATCTGAAAACCGGCATGAAAAAATGGATGAATTAGAAACTTATTAATATAATTAGATGCAAAATCAATTGCATGAAATGAATACTTTGATAGTGAGAATGTAAGATGATATTTAGACAATAGTCAATATTGCAATATTGTCGTAACTCTGTTAACATAAATCAAACAAGATTCAACAAGCATTACCTAGTAGGGAACCCCGAATGATTTTTCGCAACTTGAGCACCACTGTTACTGTTCTCAGTATATGTCGATGACGGTTCTTCAGCACGATTGAAGGCAGCAAAGGGGTCTGCGAACTGTGTTTTGGGTTTAGACTCAAACTGAGTGTCCCACGAACTGCCGCTCGAAGTGTAATTGCTCGAAAAACCTTGATTAATATAACCAGAACTATTAGCACTACCTCCATATGAAGAGGCAGAATTACTGTTATAACTTGTTATAAACGATGACGCAGACGTTGAATTTGATGTTGATGCTATGTTCTGATTGGTAGGTTGCTGAGATCGGGTTGATGTGGGTGTATATGTCGGAGTGTATGAGCTGCCATATAAGGTTCCCAACCGTCGCTTTAGTTCCTCTACTGATGTAGCTCCACTGGATGGTTTATTCTCAGACCTGAACACAGTAAAACAAATACGAACCAATCGAAATACGTCACTTTTTTTCTGCTGAAAGCAGGCCGTGGCTGGTAAAGAAGAGAACTTTCCCAAAAAATGGGTTTCTAGATTGAACACTTAACCTGAGAATTGGCACGGTACTTTTCGAATACAGTAAAAATCCAAAAACTATCCAAGTTTCAAAACTTTCACTTGTTTAAAAGCCATATTTTTTCTTCAAGAATCTGGGCGTAGCAAATTATAAAGATAAGCTTCCAATAACCTGTTGTGTCGATTAAACCTATGATAACAGATTTGGCACTATAGTTATCGAAAAACGTCCAAAAAACTGTCAACAAATCCGATAGTTGACATTTCCGAGAATCATAGCTTTTGCTTAAAAAGCTTGGACATAGCCGCTTTCGCAGAAGAGATTCACCCAACCTATAATCTCGAGAAAAGTCAAAGATTTTTAAAAAACGGTAAACATCAAAAATTTAACTTTTCTGAGGGCCATAATTTTAAAAAGTTTGGGCGCAGCAGCTCAGGGCAAGAAGCATTTCAAAACTGCTCTATTCATTGAAACAAAAATCTTACATTTGATAAGTTAGTTTTTAAGACAAAAAAATTTTGACGATATTTTTGATTTTTTTTTTCGTTTTAAAAACTAACCTCCCAAATATTCCTCCGCAGAAATTGGGGAATATGCAGCCCCCCGAACACCAGGGGAAAATTCAGGCACACAGGGGATGTAAGAACTATTTCTACCTTTACACCTTTTTGAAAATCGTTACTTTTTACGCTAATTTTCAAAAAGTAATAAAATTTTCCAAAGCCTCTCAAAAAAAGTTAAACAAAAAATCCAATCCCACATATTCTCATACCTATTTTTATCAAACAAGAACTCTGAGCAAACATGCCAAGAAAAATATTTGAAATTAAAATTAGCAACTGAACAAAACTTACGAAAAGGAAAAAGGCCGAAAAACTTTGAACAGACACCAGTTGAGCCGAAAAAAAAACTGACTTTGTAAAAAAAATTTTTTAAAAAGTTTTAAGTCTCCCATGAAACTACCCTGTAGTAACTAGTACCCACCCAGTACTTTAACTTGAAGTTTCGAAAAATTGACCATGTCAGCTGAATAGCAGCATCATAAGCGATTCAACTGATTTTGTTAAACTAGTTGTTACCTCGAAAAACGTCTACATTCCGCTTTGATAATGCTAGCTAATCACAAGCGTAAACACTTTTCATCTATCGAACTTTGCTGGAAAAAATGAACGATGTTAAAGAACTTTGATTTCGAAAAATCTTTTATGAAATTCACTTTATTCGTTATACTAACCCGATTCAAGAAAAATGGGTCAGTAGCTGATTTTTTTCTTACGCTAGGAGTTTGAAAATTAACATAACTTTCGAAACTTAGAGTCATTCACGTTTCTCGCGCTGTTTGAACTTTTCCTAGTCGAGAGCGGAATGTGGCTTCTTTTTAGCAAATGAATGTGTACAGAATTTAACAAGGTATCAGTCTAACCAAAAAATGTGAACAATTTTTAAGGCTTAACATTTTAAAAAGAGGCGAAGCGGAGCGTTGCGACACAACACAAACCTGAAAAACATCAGTCAAAAAATTTCCCACGGATATATCATTTCTCTTGCAAAAAATTAAGGATCCACCGCTTCTGCAGGAACCATTATCGCAACCGGTGCTTTCAGTTGAATTTTTCATCGCAAATTTGATTGTTAAATTTAGAGAAAATTCGAACATAGCCAATCGAAGATTGGAAAAAAGTAATGAACGCAATAAAAACATTAAAAAAACACGGACTTTCTTGAAAAAATCGTACCTTTCGAATTTCAAAGAAAAAATAGATGCCCTTTAAGCTCTTTAAATTTCTAGAATAATTTTTGATTGGCGCTTTTTTGATAACATGAACCCAACTTGACAAAACTGGATCAACAAGAGAAGTTATTATTCCGCTAGAAATCTAAAAATCAAATTCCACTTTCAAAACTAAAAATCGTTCACTTTTTTTTCGCGCCATTTCCTCGTTCGTATTTGGAGAGTGCTATTTACGTCACTTCAGCAGATGAATTTCAATTGAACTCAAAAAGTACATATATACCTAAGTGCATTCATAAATGCATCAAATATGTATGAATGCACGTAGTAGTTATATGAGACTTTTAAGACTTTTCCTGAAAAAAGAAAAACAAAAAAAATCAAGACCTATATAAGAGGAGTCTTTAATACGTTCATTACTCTTAAAAAATTTCTGAACAACTGTCGAAAAGATTTCCAAAATCCACAAAATTTTCCTCCAAACAGAAAAATGTGGCCGCTTAAGCAGAGAAAATTCCCAAAACCGGGTTTCTCGATTAAACACAACCTGAAAATTTGCACCGTAGTTTTCACCTAAAGCCAAAAAGTTTGCAGAAAACTGTCAAAATTTCAAAACTTCGACTTTTTTGAAGGCCATAACTTTTATCCGAAACAAAATTGGCATAGCCAGTTATAAAGGTAGACTTTCAACAACCTATTGTTTCGATTTAACCTATGACGATATCAGATTTCGCAAGATAGTTAGCGAGAAAAGTCCAAAAAACAGTCAACTAATCATAAATTTGACATTTCAGAGAATCATAGCTTGCTTTTGTGCACAAAAATAGGGCATACCTGCTTATACCCACTCAACCTGCTATTTCGAGTTTGACAGGGTAGTTCTCGAGAAAAGTCAAAAAGATTTAAAAAAAAAACAATCAAAATAATCAAAAATTTAACTATTGCGAGGGCCGGAACTGTTGTCAGAAAAAAATTGGAAATGGTCGCATAAATAATTGAGCTTCCCAGAACCCGTTTTTTGAATTCAACCCAAAATTTTAACCAATTATGGCAGTTAGTTTTCGGGAATATTCAGAAAGTTCAAAAAACGGTCTAAAATCCAAAAATTTGACTATTCCGAGGGCCATGATCTTATGTGTAAAAAAAATTGGACATAGCCGCTCAAGCAGGGAGCTTTTAGAAATCCATTCTAATCATTGAAACCAAAAACTTAGATTTGAGAAAGGTATTTTTCGAGAAAACGAAAAAAATTCCAAAAATATGGGTCAAATATTCCCCCAGAGACTTCTTCGAAGGCTGTAGACAGAGATGTCAAGTACAAAAAGACTCTACGGAAGTATACAGGCACACAGGGGAGTAGGCAGTCTTTCAATTGATACCCCTTTTGAAAAATCAGTAGAAGTTTCTGAAAAAAAAACTAAAATAATAAAAAAATAAACCGAAATAATTTGGGCGTTAAAAATAAACCGAAATAATGAAGTGGAACAAAATGCGAAGCCAAGGTAAGTTAAATTACAAATTGTAGGAATAAAGCAAACACTAGGAGCAACATTAAAGAAAAATGCTCGCAGCAAAAAAAAACGATTTCAAGATGTGACAACTAAGCAGACAAATAATTGGCCGACAATTTTTATTTGAAACCGATTATTTACCGTTTGAAAAAAAAAAAAACAGGTCCTGGTCAGATTCGAACCCAGGACTTTTGCCGTCACAGGCATATCCGTTACCTCCCGGCTAAGTTGACCGTGAATGCATAGAAGTTTGAATTCATTATGAACCAAGATACAAGTGATTCCATTAACCAAGTTGTTAACCCGAAAAAAATTCATATTCCAGTTTAATAACGCTTGCTAATCCCAAGCGTAGAAAACTCATTCAAAACCCCATCTAAAAGTCTAAGTCAATGAGACATATGTAAACAGCGCTAGTCATGCAGTCTAATATTCACTCAAATAATTTAGCTTTTTTTGGAATATAGAAATCGGAAAATACCTCTTACCCTATCCCTATATTCTATCAACACGTTTAACAGCTATGATTTTCAATAGAAGAACAACTTTCCACAGACAGTTAATCTAACTTTTCATTTGATGTCCCACGACTTGAGCCAGAATCCGATGCCATCGAAGCTCCTCCAAACACAGCCGAAGATGAACCGTCGACCATGCGACTCGACAGATCGTTCATCATCGTCTCATTTTTACCCGCTGCACTCATGGCTCCCGGGACACCTATGAGAGAGATCAATTCAACTACAAAATTTTAGCCATTTTGATTCGATGATGTAACAAATGTTAATTTTTTTCCAGTGGATAGTTTGGCCAAGGATACAGAGGTCGTTATATGTATAACCAACACTGCCTACTTTTGGCTATCTATTTATCTTTCTTACATCTGAAACTTATTTCGAAGTAGGGAAAAGTAATTGTGTTTGAATTTTCTCGCTTTTCTACAGAGTTGACTAATTCAAAATGTCGAATATACTGAACAGACCAGACCGTTAAAACGTTTAACTTAAAACGACTGACACATTTTGAATTCTTTTCAATTTTCCTTTTTTTAGCAAGAAGCCCTGAATAAATGTCATTTCGCTTTTTGAAACTAAGTCACCTTTGCTCATTTGGCCAGCAAGGTAGTTCGAGGTTTGCGCATTCATCCCTGCTCTAGTCTGGAGTTGCTGATTCATTGAGGACTGTAGCCTGTCTGCGGCTGCCGCTTGCACCTTTTCGTTTTGAGCAGCAGAGGACAAAGCACTTGAAGTGGCTTTAACTGCCGCTGATCGCGCACTCGGAGGAACGCCTGGACATTTTAGCAGATAATGGACACTAGAAGCACCCAATATTTAAGAACTTACTGCTAATGTCTTTTTTCTAAGATACTAAGGAAAATGATGTGCCAAGATTTCCAGAAACATTCCAAATTCAAAGTCCAATTAAATTTTTCAATTCAGACTAACAAATGGTGAATGAACTAGCAAATAAAAACTCACATATAGCGCAGACATATTTGGACTACAGTTATATAGTTCTCTTATTTAAATAATCATAGCCTTAGTAACAATTATTCATTTTTTTAAAATCAAGTAGCCTACTCGCATAAAATTTGGACCCCATATTGAATGCAGTCGAACTCCCAGATTTTGTATCTTCGTTTCCAAAACCTGTCTTGCTGAAAAAAACTAAACAGTTAAAAGCAAACTCTAGGCAATTAAAAGATATTTTCAAAACACTTACAAAAGATTCTTCTGAATATTCATGTTGCACACAAATGGAGAGTTCGCTTTTACGCCACAATTGTTCTAGACTCGAATTTGATCATCTCTTTATTAAAAACAAGTTCTCGATTGAATCACGTGGCCGATCAGTGTCTGTTATTTCTTGGCCATATTCACTGAAATTGAAGAAAAAACATTGCTGTCGAATTCAACCACAGATCTACTGTCGAATCTGCAGCCCTTCTTTACCTTCTGTGCAATTTCACGCAGACCAAATGGGCAATTATGAAACGAAACTAGCCAAATTGTTTAGGAGTTTGTGAAATCACCTAGCGATGAAGAAGGAAGAAAACATCTTGATTACCTATACATGCCATCATTGCTTTTCAATACATTGAAAAATATGACTAACAATATTGAATTTTTGTTGATATAAGTTGTGTATTAAAACGATAGTCAAGTTCAACTTTCGGACTTCTTCATATAATTTCAGTCAGTTTTGGCATCCTTGCCACACTACTAATATAACCATTCATTTATCACTGTCGATATTTAACACCATTTATCAATGAGGGAACGGAACAACATACGAGCTGCACAGCTCATCACGGCCAATGGCTTTTGTACCCCTACTTAAGAACTAAATGCAATTTATTAGGTCATTTTTCTGGTCTGGGTAATGTAACCTCATCCGCAAGCAACGACCACGCATCATGGTGGGCCTCGAACATCCGACCTTTCGATTGAGAGGCGGAGACGTCACCACTTCACCACCGCTCCCCTGAAGTCACTTCACACCATACAAAGCCGACAAATAATTCGAAAACGTATTTTTTCGAATACCAAGCAGATCACAAAGCTTCGCATTACATTCACTAATAAAAAAAACGGTTCGAAAAGTTGAAAAATTTGCACACGATGGGAGTCGAACTATTGTCCAAACTTCTGCAGAACGTAACGCCAGATACAGTCGTGAGCCACAGAATCCTGCATATTCCAAAAACAGGCTTTCACTAAAGCGCCGGCTATAAAACAATTCGCATGAAACAACGCAAGCAAACCAAAACCTAAAACAACATCAAGAACCCCGAAAACAAAACTTTTACTGTATAACACAATGTATGTTGCACTCGAATATGTATTCAAAGAAGACTGCTCAAATAAGCGATTACTGCATCGTATAAATTTGCAGCTTACATATTAAAACAAACGAACGAAATATTTCGCTCTTTAATACCTCCATACTTTTTGAAAATTAGCACAGGTGAAACGTCTTTTTATTTACATGTTGCAGCATTGATCTTTCAGATGGTATCAGAAATTCCATCATTTTTGTTTAAAAACCGAAACCGTAATGAAGCACACTTATTTGTTTTTCGAGCATATTTCATCCGTTATTTTTATTCGAAATTCTTACAAAAAACGGCAGAGTTAAATGGTTCCCCCCTTTTTAACTCTTAACAACTTAACACCCTACAATTTCACACTTAAATTGTAGGACACCGAGTTAAATATATTCCGGATCTTTTTTTATGCCAGTTCAATTTTTTTCACTAGTTTCAAAAAATCTGAATTAGAATTGGAAGCAGCCTTTTGCACCCTTGTACAAAAGTCTAAATTGATGCGATTAGCTACAAGAAACAGAACTGATGACTGGTCATTCCTATTGGCCGAAATCATAGTTTTTGCCTCAGCATTGTAAAATTGAGTGATATGCCGGGCAGTTCCAGAGAAAACCCATGTTTTTATGAGTGTTATCAGCAAAACTCTGCAAAAATTAAACAGCGACACAATACAAGGATAGCCGGTTACTGTGCAAGTACTGTGCAAGAATGTTCCGACCATAATCTTAGAAAAATACAACAAAACTTTTCTCAAATTACTGTCGTTTTTCAGCGTGGTGTGATAAAAAGATCTGAACAAAAAAAATGACAAGAAAAACTATAAAATAAATAAAACCATTTTTGCCATCTTTTGAATTTTTGATTACAAGTTATTGTTAGCCTGTTCGCTCGCTTTATTCGCTCGAATTAGGACGAAAAACTGAAAATTTCAAACCGTTATTTCGCAACATTGGGAAAGGGCATTCTTCGATGATTATTTGAGTTAGCTGGTTTTGCGTGGAAAACAAAAAGAAAAAAATAAAACACACCCGAATACAAAGTTCCTCCCAATTTTTCAAATGGTCGGAACAATAAGCCTTGATAGGTTGAGTGCAAATGAAACTGAAACTACACAATTTTATCTATAATTTTATAAGAAAGCTACGCGATGATACGCTCTATGATAGTCAAACTATACGCTTTTAAGTTGAACAGGTTTTCATTATAAATCAATACACTGCTAGCTACGTTTTCAGACAGAGGCAATGGCGCATTGGTTAAATAAAAATAAAACAGTACAATAACAAAATTTTAAGCTCAATGAAATCGAAATAAGCCAGGATGATGTAAAAATACGACTAGAAAAACCAACTTAGAAAAATGTCAAAAACTCAAGGAAGCCGAAGAAACTCATGGTGACTTTTTTCAGCAATTTTCACCTTTCGATATTCGGCGAAAAAATATATCACGTTAGCCCTCTTTGAACTTCAAGCATCTCTCAGAATTGACGCTTTTCACATAAAACTAAACCCATTACATATGACTGGTTCTTAAGTCTTAAGGTAACCTATATTTCACAGTCAATTCTGTTGTGCACACTAGTTATTGGAAAGCGTAACTTGACTTCCATAAAGCAAACGAACTTGATTTGAACTTCAAATCAATTTGAATTGAAAAAAATCAGAAGTCCAACCCCGAAAAGAAAAATCAGATTTAAGCCTGAAAAACTTTTTCCTGAAAAAAATTACAGGACCTAAACCTATGCTGCCATGAATCTCTCATTTGCGTCCGTTCGTCGAATTGTTGGAATCTTTAATAACCGTTGTTGGAAGTCGAATTGTTGGAAGATATTAGCTGAAACGAACTTCCCCTAATTACTATCTAAATGATGGTAGTTTTATGTAATTTGCCTAAAAACAACATTACAGACTTATTTTAAGCGTCTTTTCACATTCATCCTTTTTCTAAATGACTTTTTCAATAAAAATGAATTCACGTCAATGACATCCTTTAAGATGCTTGGTTATGAATAATTAAACAACTCTACAAACAAGCACACCTTTCTGTGTTTGTTTGTTTTTGTTGATCGAAGCTGCATATCATGTTTATTAATACAACTTTAATCAAGTTCAGCTGAAATTCAAATGCCAACACATGAATTAATTGAATAATACTACAAACACGTAGTTTTTTATTAGGCGTACGTCATCAAACTTCTGTAAACGGAAAGGTTCAAACTTCGAGTAGCGGGTGAACTTTCCTTCTCAGAATTGCTTTGTGTACCATTTATGGTATAATTAACTATGCTATTATAATCTATTGCTGTGTTTTTTGCCTCTTCTGTAGCCTAGTTTTGCGAAATTTATAAAAAAATTTCTGATGTCGGCTTGTGCTGTTTTCAAAAAGGAATTCTACTATGTATTGAACTAAGAGTAAGATATAAACACAAATCCGAAGCTGAGCAATGCAACAAAAATAAGATTCAAACAGCATGACGCTCAAACACTAGCAAAAAAACTTCGCTAGTTCAAAACTTCAAGAAAAGAACCGTTGAAAAAAGAACTAGAAAACCGGGAAAAAAATCTTAAATTTTGTTAAAATTAATTTTAAGTTTTTTAAAGAAGCCCAAGTTGCTTGATTTTGAGCCTTCCAAATTTTTTGCCAGATTCCAACCAATCTCACGGGCTCAGAGACTTATTTCATGCGGAAATAAGTCTCTGAGCTTTAAAAAGACTTGAAACTTAAAAAGACTTGAAACTAGAAAAATCAAACTTAAAATACACACGCATCAAATAGAGCAATGTGATGTCACTGAGGCGATACAAAATAAGACGAAATCTGGTAAGCAAAAAAATAATTTAAAAAAATGTTTTAAAGAGTAACTAGAGGGTGAGAATTTCAAAAATTGAGAAACTTTTCTAAATTAAGTTTTCTAGAAATTTTTGAAATACCTCGAAAATTGCCTATCTCGTAAAAAAGGATTTGGTTACTCATATATGGAGGCCAGAATCGCAAAACCTGGGAAAAATCTGACAATATCCTACTATTGGAATGCTAATTTCAAACTTGATGAAATAAACACTGAATTAAAACTGGAAAATAAAAAAAAAACCGTAACCATTGCAATATACGATATAGCGTGAACGTGAAAAAATTCTTTTGTTAAACATGCAAAAATAATACCTTGAAAAAGCTTAAGCATGGCGAGATAGTGAAGCCCGCAATTAAATATATAAGAGATGAAAGTTAAAAATTAGGCGACGGGTAGACAGACATAATCAAATTAATTTAAAAAAACAGGTATACAGACAGACTTACTTTGGCCTCGAAAAAAAAAATACTGAAAAGTTAACGACCATGCGGAAAACTAATTGAAAAATTTTCTGAAGCATTGCAATATATGATATAGCTTAAAAATGAAAAAATTCTTTCGTTAAACATGCGAAATTATTATGCTTAAACATGGGAGATAGCTGTCACTCGCATTTAAATATAGTACAGATAAGAAGTTATTGAGTCCCCCTCCCCCTCAAACCACATACACGCACACACAAACTTCTTTTGCCAATCGAAAGGCGCAATATGTGACCATTAAACCGATATAATATCACAAACTTATCAAGCCGGCAAAAAAACAGAAAAAAGCCGAAAAAAATTGTTGTCATAAAAAACTTAAACTATCAATTCTATGTAAACTTTTAGCATTTTAAGCGATCCAGAGGCGAGCATAAAAATTATGTTTCCCTTGAAACTACTTAAAATTAGGCCACTAAATCGATATAAAATAGGCCGAAGCCTATTGAACCGAAAAAAGGATACAACACAAGGAAATCGAAAAAAAACGAATATGTCGAATAAACTACAACTATCATAATGAATGTCTTATTTTGAAACAAAAACATGCCAAGACAATAGGATGTGAAAGTAGCATCGAAACATAATTTACCAAGCGGTAACAAATACCTTGGCAGAAACCATTTGAGCCAAAAAAAATCAACAAGATTTACCACTTATGGAAATTCCCCCTCGCCTTCAAAACAATCAAAACATTATTTGCTCGTTAAATGAG